ATCGTAATTCGTTATGGGTTCGGGTCCTTCGTAGCAAGTATAAGGTGGAGGAAAGGCTCATTCCAAGTATCTCGGCTTCCGCAAATGATTCTGGTTTATGGAAGGCTATTGTTAAGTATTGGCCTCAAACTCTAGAGAATTCTCGTATCATTTTAGGGGATGGGGTTCATACGTCTTTTTGGATGGATTCGTGGGTGCCAGGATGTCCTCAACTTGTTTCTCTGGCCGTTCAACCTATTCCTCCTATTATGACTCATTGGTCTACGTCTCAATTTGTAACTTGTTATGGTAATTGGGACTGGCCTTTATTTCAGCACCTTCTTCCTACTTCAGTATTAGACAAGATTCGTAGTGTGCTCCCTCCTACAGTGGATCCTTCTCCGGACCGTGTTATTTGGGCAGGTAGCCAAGATGGGGTTTTTTCAGTGAAATCAGCTTATAACTATCTCATGGGTACCTCGCATTATCATCAGGATAGGATTTGGAAGGTAATTTGGGCTTGGCCTGGTCCTGAACGTATTAGACAATTCTTATGGCTTATCTACAGAGGTTCTCTTTTAACTAATGTTCATAGAGTGCATCGTCACATGGCTACAGATGCAGGGTGTCTCAGATGTCATTATAATCTTGAGGATAGTTTACATGCCATTAGAGATTGTCCTGGTGCCAGGGAATTATGGGAGCATTGGGTTCCTTCTGATAATCGTAGTGACTTTTTCTCCATGGATCTTCACCTATGGATTCAGACAAATCTAGGATTAAAAGGTCCGTTTCAAACTGATCGAACTTGGCCTTTGTATTTTGGGGTGATAGCTTGGTGTTTGTGGGGGGAAAGAAATAAGGCGATCTTTGATCAAACTATCACCTCGAAGTATGGTCTCATTAGGCGCATTACCTATACTTGTGGTAATATTCAATTGGCTAATGAAACCCTTATTAAGATTGGTCATCAGGAGCTTAGAAGAGAGGAACATCTTATTCACTGGAATTTTCCCTCTGAGGGTTATGTTAAACTTAATATGGATGGTTCCAGTATAGACAGTGGGCAAAGGACTGCATGTGGTGGAGTCATAAGGGATGCTGCTGGGAACTGGTTAACTGGTTTTACAAAATTCCTTGGGAGTGGTACTTCTACTTCAGCGGAAATTTGGGGGTTCTTGACAGGTATGGATCTGGCTTGGCATAAGGGATTTAGGAGAGTCTTTGTGGAGGGTGACTCCAAGGTGGCTTTGGAATTTATAAGAAAAGGGTGTGACGTAAGTCATCCTCTTTCTGCTTTAATCATCCGAGCTCGTAGCATGCTTCAAAGAGACTGGATTATTCAGCTTAGTCATACTTATAGAGAAGGCAATTTTGTTGCTGATTGGCTTGCTACTCATGCACCTCATCAGGATGGACAACTGATTGTGCTGGATGTCCCTCCAACGGCTTGTTTGGAATTGCTTCGTAATGACTTGAGGGGAGTTAGTCTCCCAAGATTGTGCCCAGTATAGGGCTTTTTTTGATGTTGCTTTAGTTTTCATTGTATTTCCAAAAAAAAAAGAGGGGCACAACTGTTTTTTTTTTTTAATTTATTGTATTGCGGACCATTAATTTAAATTGATTCAACGATGCTTATAAAAAAAAATTGATTCAGACATTATAAAATTACTAAAGATAAAAAGATTAAATAATTAGGCAATATAATTATTCCCTTACTATTATTTTATATTTTATATTTTGAAATTATTATCAAATCATTAACTATTTAATTTTTTTTAATGATAATTATAATCTATCCAAGTTACTTGCAGTGAATAGTGACGGTCATTTTTATCAAAAACTAGTTTAAAAACGTAAAAATGGTAGAAACGCAGTGTAAAAATATGTTAAAATGTAAGTAGAAATGGTTCTTAGTAGAAACGGGTAAAAACGCCATATAGAAATGTAAAAACGGTAGAAATGTAAGTTTTTATCTTTTTTACCGTTTTTACTTAAACTCAATTTTTTAATTTTTAATTTTTTAAAAAACCTATTTTCCATTTTTTTAAATTCAATTTTCTCTTTTAATGTTTTTGGACTTATGTCTTATATAGTTATGTGACTTATATATTTTAAATATGAAGTTATTTATTAAATTTTGAGTAGTGATTTATGTGAATTTTTTTCACACACATATATATATATATATATATATATATATATATATATATATATATATATATATATATATATAGAGTAAAGACCCTTTTTGATCTCTAACAAAAAACACAGTCACCACTTTAGTCCCTTACAAAAATAAATTAGTCAGTTAGTCTCTAACAAATTCAAGGTGGACCCATTTTAGTCCTTTTGAGGGACTAATATAGGTCTTCTTTGAATTTGTGAGAGACCACGATTTCAACTAAATAGGTCCACTTTGAATTTGTTAGGAACTAACTGACTAATTTATTTTTGTAAGGGACTAAAGTGGGGACCGTGTTTTTTGTTAAGGACTAAAAATGGTATTTACTCGTATATATATATATATATATATATATATATATATATATATATATATATATATAATTTTGTATATTGACCTTAAGTAGTAAAAACTTTACGTCTCGTCTCGTTTCTACGTTTTAAGTTTATACCACCCCTTCCGTTTCTATGTTGACCTTAAGTAGTAAAAAGTTTACGTTTCGTCTCGTTTCTACATTTTACGTTTCTACCATCCCTTCTGTTTCTACATTGACCTTAAGTAGTAAAAACTTTACGTTTCGTCTCGTTTCTACGTTTTAAGTTTCTACCACCCCATTCGGTTTCTACGTAGAAACTTGATTGAGACTATATCGGTGACGGTAGCTACTTTGTAGATCTCCTATAGGAGCTTTATTTTTGTGCTACGGGACCACAACCCCACTCAGTGGGCCAGGAGAGGAGAGATTGAGAAAAGAGGAGAAATTGTCTAAATGTCATCTCCTGAATGGAAGGACCACATGAGACCTAAAGCACAAAAAAAATCCCCCTATCTGATAGGCAGATGGTGGTGGTGCACTTGAGGAAAACAAAATGTGCGTATGAATAACCTTTATTTTTTTTTTTTTCTGGAAAAGTTGTTTTTTTTTTCTTTTAAAAATATACTTTTGAGTAGTTTTAAGTGTTTGGATAGTAATTTTTAAAAAAATTAGAATTTAAAAAAAATTAAAATAGTATTTTTTTATCCTATCTAACTTTTTTCTGCCTATCTTTGTCTATCACACTCTAATACCATTATATTAGAATCTCAACTACCTTTATTATTTCTCTTTTCTATTGGGATTATGATATAATGATGTTGGAGATTAGTAGGGGTAAACAAAAGTCAAAAATTAAATATTTTTTGAAAATTTAATTTTACCCCACTTTACTCCAACCACTCCATCCCACTGTTACAACTACAATTAGATATCTTTTTCAGTAGTTTTATATATAAAAATTGCTTATTATTTTAGCATCCAAATAATTTTTTATTTAAAGTAATTTTTTATATATTTTATCTAAATATAAAAATATTTTAACTTTAAAAAAAAAGTCATTCTAAAAAAAATCAAGTAATAGAACTTTTTAAAAGTCCATCCAAATGGCCGTGTGGAACGAAGGAGAAAGTGTACTTGAGATGTTAAGTTTAACCTCGGTTGGCGCATAGAAGCTTAGTAAGTGGGAGTGAGAGCACATGTTCAATTATTTTCGGTACATATTTGGAAGAGGTTTAAAGTCTTAATCTTGAAACTGTCCCGAACAGAATTACCTTCCAAAGAGGATATCTGTGGTTTATAAAAAAGTAAAAATATAAAATAAAAAATCTTAAGTTTACATATTTATAACGAGTGAAGGACATGCTTCCAGGCTCAAATGAGATGATTGAGTTAGTGGATGTTAGAATTGTCTGTTGCAAGCATGTGCTCAGTGGCCAATGTGGAGAGTACATCAAATGTAGATACATCTTTACCTAACAGGGAATTTTTTTGGGATTTATTGAAAAAAATAAAGAAAAGTAAGTGTATAAATGGAAAAACAATTTCCTTATTTGGAAAAAAAGATGTACCCAAGTAGGTACATCTGAAGTATTGAGAAAAATTCTGCCAATATGACTATGCGACATCAAAATGCTTGATGTGTGAGACATAACTAGGCATATCTTGTGTTGTATAGAGCTTCAAACACTAGATAAAATATCCCAAAAGAGTGAGAAGTGCTCTAATTCTGTGAAGATACCAAGTACTTTTTTTTGGATAGATATCTATTGGCGTCCGAAGTCTTAATGGACCCACTGATCCAGTTTTAAGTTTGTGTCTCTCTACCCCTAAAAATTACAATTTTCACAATTCGAATTCACTATCCTTTAGGCACGTAAAATCTTGGAATTTTAAGTGGGTGGCCACTACACCATCACTTGGTTGGTAGTACTTCTTTAAACATAGTGTCAGAGATATAGCGGAATATCTTGATTATATCTCTTGCCTATTGAAAATAGGTCTAAAGAATTAGCTCAACCAATATAAATCATTGTTTGCACTTCTCTCTCTTTTCCTTTTAGTTTCCTACAATTTAATCTTTCTTGCAATCGCTAGCTCATTAATAGCTCCAATGAAAATCACTAAATTTTTGTTTTTTTTTTTCAAAATCTATGTGAAAATCTTTTACAAACTCAATTCATTTCCACTTGAATTTCAACCCACTTAATGACAAATGAAATTTGAACAAACCGGGGGCAAAAGTGAAAAATTATGAAAATAACATTGGTACAATTAGAACCGAGAAGATTAAATTTTAGGAAAACTTGGAGGACTAAAAGTAATTAAGCCAAATACTTTCTCAAACTCAAAACTCCTCATAGATATCTGCAAATGAATGTCACTGGCACACTGCAGATGCAAATTATACATAATTCAGATTTGTTCCCATGAAAATCTCTTCCTTTTTATAACTGTTTTCAATGAACCTTGTGTTCTCTTTAATATAATAATGAATGTTGCTTCAAATGCAGTCACTGCTGATTATACTTCATCCACAATACAAGTTTCATCCAATGATGTTGTTGATGATTGAAGCCTTCTTAACTCACCTCTAGAGCCAAAATCTGTAATTGAAGTACGTGAAGAAACTGTTACATAAACTCCAGTGGGTCTCATTCTTGGTAATTCCATTAAAGGTTCATTTGAGTTCAAAAAAATGTGCACCACTTTTCTCATCTTTGGCCTAAAGAGTGAATCAGGATGCAAACATGCAAGTCCAACCATCAATGCCCTTTTAGCTTGTTCCTCATCAAATTGGTTTTCCAATAGCTTGTCAACACACTCAAGCAATGCATTTTCACCATGCAAATTCCACACACAATCTACCAAACTGTTCTCTTCCATAACCCATCTTGACCTTTTACCACATATGACTTCAAGCACAACCATGCCAAAACTATACACATCTGATTCAGGACTTGCTTTTCCTGTAAAGCCTATTTCAGGTGCCAAATACCCTGGAGTTCCAGCAAAATTTGTGGTTACTGAATCTTCATTTTTGAGTAATCTTGCTAACCCGAAATCGCCTAAATGAGCATTGAAATCAGAATCCAGCATTACATTGTTAGGCTTAACATCTCTGTGAACAACAGGGTTTCCACACTCCTCATGAAGATAAAGCAATGCTGATGCCAATCCTGTTAATATCTTGTGTCTGGTTTTCCAGTCCAGAACATCCTTGCCTATGAAGTGGTCAAGGCTTCCATTTTGCATATAATCATAAACCAAGAGAAGATTCTTACCTTCATTGCACCAGCCTTGGAGCTGCACTAAGTTTTTGTGCCTAAGACGCCCTATGGTACATATTTCAGCTAAGAACTCTTTTTCACCTGTATAGAAAACCAATGAAACAAGGGAAAAAAAAAATGGTCAAGAATAGAAGAAAACCAAAGAAACATGGGAAAACAAAATCGTCAAGAATAGAAGAAAACCAAAGGGTGGGGAAGTCTTATGGAGATTATGGTAGATGTGACAAACAAGGTGCAAGTGCAGCTACTTTTAAGTAGGTTCAAAATTGACAATATCATGAACCAACTATCCTAAAAGTTTAAACTATTACATGAACACACGAATGGTTTTATATTACATGTCTGACACGCCCTTTCATGCCAAAGCCCTTTTTACTTGAATCGCGGATAATGCACGAACCATCTACGTAGTGCTGAAGTTCAACATTTTATTAAAAGATTAAGGGTGGCAAAGATCGAAACTCTAGACCATTCCATATACCAACTATCCCAAAAACTTAAGTTATTAGGTGAAGACACATGAATGATTTTATATTACTTCTCTAACGAAAATCAATGGATGATTGGGAAAATTCTACATAGGTTTAGGTTAGACACCATTGGCTTCATTGCAAATTTAGTGACTTCATCATCTCCAACTTTTCTACATACTGATATCCAACCCAACCACCCATGTCCATATAATTTCTCACAAGTTAACAGAACATACCTTGTTTAGAGTTTGCTGAAATCTTCTTTACTGCTATAGTTTTTCCAGTGTCTAATATGATGCCTTTATAAACACCACCAAATCCACCTCTGCCCAAAAGATTTTCTTTGCTGAAGTTGCATGTGGCCTTTAACAGTTGCTTGTAAGTGAACATCTTAGGGATATATGCAACTGTCCTTGATATGCTTTCTATATCCTCCTCCTTATGACCCCTCTCATATATTTTCTTCCAAGCTTTCCACATAAAAGGAAATAAGCTAATTAACACAAAAACTGGTATGACAATTATCAATATGATCTTAAAGGTGTCAACTTTTCTAGGTTCAACAGAAAGAATAGGTAGTGGCACTGATGTGAAAACCCAATTGAGGACTTGATGGGTTTCAGGAATAGTCATGCCAGTGGAGGCTGTGAAACCTACATAAACTGTGCTTGGAATTATATCAGGTAAGGTGATTGAATGGTTCATAACACTCTTTAATTGGTTTCTAGAGTATCCAACTGAGACAAAAATCATGTTATTCCACCCATCATAGTCAATTTTGAACACAATGTCTCTTCCACTTTTGAGGTCAACGCCAGTGCTATTTAGACTCTGAAAAGCAACTGGATTTGTGATGCTTGTTGTGACTATCCCAATGTGGTTTCCATCTGGATCAAATTCATTCATGAAAGTGTCCATCTCCACAGCTATTTGTCGAAACACCCCACCTACACAACATCATTTTTAGTTTAGACTAAAATGCTTTTTCCTTTTTTTCCTGCAAATTTAGGTAATTGAAGAGTCACACAGTCAAGACAACCTATGTTTGGTGCATGGTGACATTATGCACTATGCTGATGTAATTTATCCAAAGAAGCACATTGGAATCAGTACATAATATCAAAATTTTCTTTCATATTTGGTCATGACAAGGTGTCATAACTCATAACTAAAAAAAAAAGAAAAAAGACATTCTGCCCTCAATTGGGACAATAACATTCTTATATTTGGTTATTGGAATGTTCTTACTTGATCGATTACATGTGTGTGCATTTTAAAATCTAAGATTCAAAAATGATAATTAGGAGGGGTAAAAAAATCACGCCGTTCTCGATCTTAGTTATTGATCCCACTTGCATATTACAGTTCACATGACTAATAAATTAGTGTTGAGATATTCAAGTGTGATGAGTCCCACATTGGTTGGTAATGAGCTAAGTGAAGAGTATATAAGTGAAAGGACCCATGAACCCAATGCCTTAAGGTTTTGGGTTGAGACATGGTGTCGGATCCACTTGCTACGGTTGGTGTAGCCTTAGCTCATTGGTGGTGGTTCCCCGCCACGGGCTTCCCTTGGACCCGCTTGACATTGGAGTTTGAGGGAACGAATTTCCCAACTCTGGTATCAGAGCCGGATTGGGCTCGAGCTAGCCTAGTGATTGGCTAGGAGGCGGGTCGAGTACTTTGCGCTTCGGGTACTCGGTTGAGGGGGAGCATACCAATGGTGGGTTTCACACTTGAGGGGGAGATTGTTGAGATATTCAAGTGTGATGAGTCCCACATTGGTTGGTAATGAGCAAAGTGAAGAGTATATAAGTGAAAGGACCCATGAACCCAATGCCTTAAGGTTTTGGGTTGAGACATGGTGTCGGATCCACTTGCTACGGTTGGTGTAGCCTTAGCTCATTGGTGGTGGTTCCCCGCCATGGGCTTCCCCTGGACCCGCTTGACATTGGAGTTTGAAGGAACGAATTTCCCAACAATTAGAACCATTAAGATTTATTATAAGTTTGGTTGATTCTTTCCCTTATATTGTTTACTCTTTAGATAATAAAACAAGAAAATCACACATTCCAATAAACTCTACTCTTTATTTTTATTTTTTTCCAAACAAGCAAAGTATAAAAATGGTCTAACTTTGAAACAGTGATATTTTGCAAAAATTTTTAATATACTGGATTTACCTTGTGTAGATTTATCAAACAGGCCAAGATATGAGCCATAGCTATGATTTGGTGAGGGCCTATTATCTTGTGCAAACACTAGTGCCATTCCATCACCAGAGCTGGTTGAATTCTTCGTAAAGGGAGTGATCCTAAGAGTGAAGGTGGTAGAGATAATTGCTGGCCAAACATGTACAGGATGAGGGTACAGAACCCTACCTATTTTGTTGGTTGTTGAAGATGATGGTAAACTGGAATTGTTATTTTGTTGTGGTTGTGGCTCTGGTGTGAGACTTAAATACCCATTGCCAGAAGTGGCTGATCCCATACAGAGAAGTTCACCATTAGTGCAACTTTCAGGGCTGAATGAAATAAAGGAAAAAGTATTGGGGTCAATCACAGTGCTTGTACTAGTTTGAGTTTGGATTAGGAAGGCAAAGAGATGCATAAGCATTAACATGGTTGTTTTGGAGGGCTTAGAAGAGCTTAATTAATCCATTTTTGGTGTGCATGTGTGTGTATATATATTTAGTGGTGAGTGAAGTTTTTATGTTTTGAATGTTGTTTTGTTGTTAGGGAGGGAAGAAGTGTAGATGATCACAGAAAGAGTAGAATTATTATGCGTTTTTGTTTAGCACAGGTTGACTTGAGAAACCAAATATATGCGAGTTGTTAATTTATTAGGTTGGTAGATAGGTGGGGTCTCGTAAGGGACAAGGGTGAATGCAACTATGAGAATGGACAATCATGGGAATTTACACCGGTTTGTTTGTTTTTTTATTTTTGACCCTTAATTGTTTTTTAACCCAAAAATACTCACACAAGAGATCCAGTTAGCCCCCTTACTGTTTTCATAGGCATATGATGGGATCTGAAATTAGAATATCAAGGATAACGGTATTTGACTAATCCAAAATCATGGGATTATTGTTTGTAATGTTTAGGTGTTAGCACTGTTATCAAAACCGGACCGAACCAACCGGTTCAACTCAGAACTAGACTGGCCAGTGGTCCGGTTGGTGTATTGATTGTCCATTCAACCCAGTATCAAACCGGTGGACTAGTTATAAATTGTTGTCCAACCAATGGCTTTCTGATGAATGCCTTCAACACTTATCATTTATTATATATTTTTATATAAATTTGGTTTAGTAGGTTGAACCAGTGATCTACTGATCGAACCTATAACCCTTTAACCCAATACCCTAGACAAGTTAATGACTAGTTAAAGTTTAATAATATTAAATGTAAGATTATATATATGAGAGTATTATTTCTGTAGTTGTGGCAGCGACAATACTCCCAGCCACAAGACACAATAAGAGATGAGAGAGAATATTTTGATGGAATCAAAGACAATGCTTGATGAGAGATAATGTTTTTTTGTGTTTGTGGGAGAGATGTATTATTTCTGCCACTAACCAAAAATAATACTCCCTTTATATATATATATAAGATTCGTTTTGCGTGCCGAAGTTTTTTTTTGCTGCGGACCCCACAAAATGTTGTGTGTGTAGGAAACTTTTTGTGGTCATGTTAAATGATAGATGATAAACCCATATATATATAAGGGAGGGTTCTTTTGACTTAAGAGTAAGATTTTTAAGTTTTACTCCCCATCTCAGCCGTTGATAGACGAAAATCAACGATTGTCATTTATAGTGTAATTAATAATTAATTAATTATTATAACTTCCTAAACTATAATTGTTGGATGGACAGAAATCAACGATTAGGATAAGGAGTAAGATTTATAAGTCTTTTTTTTTTTTTTATAAAGTGGAGGGCCAAGCCCAGAAACAACTAAACAACCATATTAAGCAGGGGGAGAGGAGAAGAACCTCAACTCTTCACCCTTAAGATTAAAGACTACTTTAGCAAAAAAATCAGCACAAACATTGAGCTCTCTTGGAACGAAATCCAGCTGAAGATGAGGAGTAAAGATTTATAAGTCTTACTCTGGAGTCAAATGAAAGCCCAATACGACGTCGTTTTGTGACGGAAATCATGGTATTTTTGTAATTTTAATTTATTTCAGGGTTATAATAATCTTTATATTTATAATTTTTTAAGATTTCAATACCAAAACGACGTACTTTTGGGAATAAATCCAGATAACTTATCTGCAGTAACTGCAGAAACATTTTTTTCCATATATATATATGTGTGTGTGTGTGAAAGAGAGATCATTTGACTCCAGAGTAAAATTTATAAGTCTTACTCTTCATTTCAGCCCTTGATTTTCGTCCATCTAACGATTATAGTTTAGGAAGTCATATTAATTAATTAATTATTAATTACATTATAAATGACAACCGTCGATTTCTGTCCATCAACGGTTAAGATGAGGAGTAAAACTTAAAAGTCTTACTTTGGAGTCAAAAGAACCGTCCTCATACATATATATATATATATATATATATATATATATATATATATATATATAGGGAGGGATTTTTTGACTCTAGAGTAAGACTTACAACTTTTACTCCTCATCTCAACCGTTGATTTCCGTCCATCTAACGGTTATCTATACCAATTAATTAATTATTAATTTCAAATAAATAATAACAGTTAAATGGACGGAAATCAACGGTCGAGATGGAGAGTAAGAGTTGTAAGTCTTACTCTAGAGTCAAAATATCCCTTCCCTATATATATATATATATATATATATATATATATATATATATATATATAGAGGTAAGATCTATTGACACCGGTGTCAAATTTTAATTTTGACACCTCATCTGAGAGCCGTTAGATCAAAAAAGATCAACGACTCTGATTTGCAAGCATGTGACACCATTGATCTTTTTTGATCTAACGGCTCTCAGATGAGGTGTCAAAATTAAAATTTGACATCGGTGTCAAAGGATCCTACCTCATATATATATATATATATATATATATATATATATATATATATATATATATATATATATATATATATATAGGGAAAACATTTTCTCATATCGTAAGAGAGTTGTTTTCTCCCTACTAGTGACCCTTCAATTTTCGTGCAATATTTTCTTTTGCTTTTTTATTTTTTAATAGATGTGGGCCTCATATAAGATGTGTCTACAATACAACATGAGAAAATTTTTTCCTCCCACATAAGAAAATCGGAACCCATATATATATATATATATATATATATATATATATATATATATTTGTAAACATTTGTACTACCTCTATTTTCTTCAGGAAAATTTCACCAGTTGGATGGTTGATTCAGACCCCATGACTAGATATGAACATTTGTTTTCTTCCTATAAAAGCTATGATAGGAAGATATAAATTACAGTGGCACATGGAAGTTACTTTGTTGAGGCTAGAATCTGTGAATTGAATTTGAGTGGCTTAAATAAGAAATATGTTCTTTACGTTCCTAAATTAAAATACAACTTAATTTCAGTTATCAACTTATCAAAAAATCAAAATTGTGCAGTGATTTTTTCTCCTAGTGGTTGTGAATTTCATGATTTGGCTTCAAAGATGATGATAAACAATGCTATGGAACGGAGTGGTCTTGATTATTTTGCTTTTGCTGATTCTTTTTCAAAACCTCAAACTCAATCTAAGTTTTCCTTCTCGACTATTTCAAATTCTGATGTGATGCTTTGGCATAAAGGTTTAAGTTATACTAAGCTTCAATTATCTCAAGTTCTTGCGTCCAAAGTTGTTAATCAATAATGATGTTTCTTCTTTTCAATGTGAACATTGTATTTGTGAAAAATAATCTCAAAAACATCCTCCTGATCACTCATAAAAAACTCAAATTTTCATCTTTCATAGTGATTTATGGGGCTTAGTCAAATACACATTTAGCTAGTAATTCGATTATGAAATGAATTTAAGTATCCTAAATTTTAGAGTTTAGTCAATAAACTCACCATTGATTCTATTAATCCCAACATTATTTCAGGATTGCACGTCTCTTACTAATAAAGGTGCTCATTTTCTTTACTCTTAACATTTTTTATCTGCTACAGTCTTTCAAACTAAGCCAAACAGGCTTGTAACCTCAGGTACGTTGATTAATAATATTTTATTTCATCATGAAACTCATTTTAAAATTTTATGATTGAAACCTTTTAGGGATATCGGATTATTTTGAGCCTTTATAATGTCTAGAAGATGAAATTTATCTACTCCTTCAAGGAATGATCAGATTCAGATCATGTTGTGTCATATTCAGAAATGAAGATGAGCATATGATCCATGTAAAAGAGAGACGGAGAAAAAAGCAGGAAAGAAATAAGAAATTGTCAAATAGGGAAGAATCTAAATAGTCAATAACTTATCAAAACAAAAACTATAATCTATGATCATCTTTGTATGACCAAAATATGAATGACCAAAATATGAATTATTGCATTAATCGTCAAATCTCAATGCACAAGACTTGACTTGTGAGGGTCGGAATGAAGGTCGATTATACACAATTTTACCCTTATATTTTTTACAAAGAGACTATTTCTCAAATTCAAACTCATAACCTTGCGACATAATAAATAACCTTACTGTTGCTCCAAGGCTCACCATCACCAAAATACAAGTATTGCATCAATATCATAAATAATTCTGATATCATGCTCCATAAGAACACTAGGAATTTATTGAAATTTCAGACATCCAAACTAAGCATGACCCAACAACAGTTTTAATATACATTGGAACAACCTGTAGAATATCCTTCATCAGGTTATCCTTTTATATTATTTCTCATGTAAGAAAAAGAAAAGAAAACAAAAGAGACTTAACATTATATGACATGTTTATTGAAAGCAGTATCTCTCTGCCCAGGTTTACTAGGTACAAGATCTTAAATCATGATAAGCACCATAGTGTAAGCTGCACCTTCAATTGAAAGAAGGGATGAGCTGAGATGTGTCAGTAGTTTCTACATCTTTGACCAAATGCGGCTCAAGCTAGCTTCAATTGACCCGTGTGGCTCATCCGTTGGTAAATACACATCATCATCAAACTGCATAACAAGTATCATATCATTCAACAGCTTTAAAATAGTAAATTTTAAAATATTTAGAACACACGAGGTTATTGTATGTGATGGTAGGACGAACAATCTACGTTTTCATAGTAACGAAGGACAGTCAAAAGGTGGCTAAAGATAAAGACAAGTTGAAACTAATATATTTGGGCAGGAAAGAAAAATAAGAAGAAAATGGGTTCATTCTGGTTTATTATTTGACATATGGTGGGTTAATAGCTGACTTTTATTCATGTTTTCTTGATTTCACTTCTTATCTTCTATATGTTTTTTGGGGTCTACTTGGCCTTTCCTTCCCAAAAATATCCAATCTCAAGTGAGGGCTTGATTCAATCTCCAGTCTTTGAAATTATAGACAGTGAATATATATATTTCCTACATTAACACAAGTCATTGACAAAAGCTGCAATTAAAGACAAAACTTATATCTTTGAAGACCACAGAGGGTGAGCCTTGGAGCTTAGGTTCTCCTTGTGACTAGAAAATTACATGTTCAAATTTGGGAAACAGCCTCTTTGCAAAAATCCAAGGGTAAGGCTGCGTACAATCGATACCCATGCCTACCCTTGCAAATCAAGGAAGCCTTGAGCACCAGGGTTTTTCCTAATAATTGAAGGTCAACTATATAGTGGCACATTTGATTTCCAACTACAGTTCCTCAATCTACTTTGCTTTAAAGGACGAAGTCAATAGTAATATAATCAATCAGGAATTTGTAATGAGTTCCATTAACTTCTGAAACTTTCCAGGGAAAAGAATCAATACCTTTACAATTTGACTATCCTTGCTTGAGATATTGACCGGTAAGAAATGAATATTTGGCATCTTTAGTTGGATAGAAGCTATGTCAGGAAATCTGAAGCATAAAAATTAATTGTCACTTCCTACATGATTATAACATATGCATCAAATTTGTGGCAACAACCAAATGCGGCTGAGAGATGCCGGGACGATAGAGAGGCAGATAGATAAAGTTGCGTACGTGCAGAAAGAGAGTAGGACAGAGAGAAACCTGTTTAGTGTTGCCTTTGCCATAAGGTAGAGTGTGTTTTGAACAGATGGGCTATAGACTCCCTCCTTCGGAGGGCCAAAGAAAGTGTCAACCATAACTCTTTTTACACCCAGGTACTTGTCTGTAAAGTAAAGCGGCTTCTGAGGGATGCTAGATAGTGATTCATATGAATACCTACAACCACATTCAATTCAGAAGTGTGACTTTCTATTTTCCAAGTAAAGAGAACACCAGTGCAATGATCAGTGAAAAAACTTCTCGGGCTTCAGTTCCTTTCCTGGACGATGCTGTATGAGTGAGCTCCTTCATCTTATAATTAATGAATGACAAGAAAAATTTCCAGAAATTGTAATGAAATTGAGGCTGATTAACCATTTTGCCCCCGTTTTTAAAAACTTTTATCACTTTGTCCCTTTCCCCAAACTATATACCAATCTATCACTGTTCTCAAACTATATACCAATCTGCCCTTATTTAACCAAAGTTTAATGAACATTTACTCGAGTAAATGACTTACCAAGAACTAGGGTTTGGTCAAACAAGAGCATATTGATATATAATATAACGAGAGGGACAAATTGGTATATAGTTTGGGAAGATGAGCAAAGTGATAAAATATAAAAATAAAATAGGGGTAAAATGGTCAATCAGCCTGAAATTGACCATAATTAAGCCTGCATGACAAGCGTCCGTAAGATTTAGGGTTTTGGTTTATATCTTATGCCTCTTCTAGGTTGTTTCTAAAAGCCAATTTTGTTCTTACTTCTTGTTTATTAAAATTTGCTAAGCCAGATAAAAAAACCAGTATGGAGGAAAAAATTACCTCCATAGTGCAGTTACTTCTGTTGCCAGCATCCTTTCGCGTGTTTCAGGAAGTGCTGTGTACTTGTCTCTTATAAAACCCTCAAAGCCAGACTGCTCACGAGTCATTGAACAAAAATAAAAAAATAGCATGTCTTGTTTTGAGAAATTCATGCATTACAGAAATTGGACACACTACATGAATCAAAGCATAAGTTTCTATATTGCAAGCTTACCATGGTTGTCTTTAACAAAGACAATCCTTCAATACCAGAAGTCAACTTTAGTGCACCAGATTTTTTTACTATTGCCTCAGCTGTATGCTTCTCAGATCCAAGTTTGAAACCTAACAAAAATGAAATCAAAGGACTTGAGGCTGAAAAGAAACAACGGGTAACTAAAGTCTCTAAAACTATCTCCAAAATATTTCAGATTTTATAACTAAAATTAAATAAAGAAACTTCAGTTGTAACAAACAATCAAATACAAAGCTAACAATGACAAAACCTCCACAGAATGTGGAATATATGTTAGTAACTTCTAAAACAAGCAATATTACACAGTGTATAATAGTTTGACTAACCATGTTCATGAGGTTGACCATCCACATTAACACGCTCCCATGGTTTTTCCACAATATTTACAATAGCAGTAGTAACCTACAAAAAACCAAGTAAGGCTTTCTTTGTTCTTTTTTTTACCAGGTAATGACATTAAAAGAAAATATGAGAAGGACACAAATAATTTGAGATAAAGATTGGTCAAAGCAAAATGTTTAGCAGAAAAAGAAAAAATAAAAAGCTAATTGCAAGACAAAGGAAAAAAAAAACAATTAAGGAATGGAAAAACACGAATAATCTCAACGTTGATATTAGATTTTCTGTCACCAACCTGCTTGTAAAATGATGTAAAGTGCTTAGCAAGTTCAATAGCAAAGTCCTCCACAGAAAGTATTTCCGAGCACTCCTTTGCTTTTGCATATACCTAATAACAAAAATTCAAAATTCAAAACTGAACCAAACTGGGGATGGAGAATAAAAAACAAATGAAAATGACCTGGAAGTAATTGACATATTACATTAACACAGTATTTCTTACCAACCACAAAAATATTTCCAGTTCTGTATAAATTCATTTTCACATAAACATATCCGAGAACAAGAAAATAGGATTTAAACTTGCATCTATGATCAAACATTAAAATGTTCAAACTTAATCCCATATTATAAATTTTTGTATCAAAACTGATTTAATCGGGTTCGAGCACTCTCGAACCCATATTAGGCGGGACTATCAATATTATTTTCTTCATTCCCATGACTTGAACTTGAGACCTTTGGTTAAGAGGAACAAGCTTTTTGCCACTTGGAAACAATGATTGTTGGTAATCCTATATCATATTAGTTCGAGATATTTCCCCTTGAATGGTGCACTCACAATAAACTGCATCCATTGATATCTCAAAGTTTGGCCACTTCATGAGAAAATACAAGAGATAAACAAAATAAGGTATAAGCTGTTCCCAAGAGACAAGCAGATTAAAAGTGTTTTCACATAATAGTTATCCCTAGGTGGGTGAGTATCCATTTGCAACAAGACATGTTTAATTAGAAGCTAATCAATTCCCAAGTAGCACATAACAAACCCCTCATAGTCAACAAAAACGACTGAACCATTCAAAACTACAATCTGAAGTGAGAAGCACACATTTAGAGATCAAAAGGGTCTCTTGACTAAAATATTCATGACCAAGAAAACAACAGAACTTGAAATCAAATCACTAGCCATGATATTCAGTCCCTTTAACGAACCCATAGAATCAAAGTGGCACCAGATTTTATTTTCACAACAAGAAGCACGCAGATTCAGATTCATAGTAGAAAATTAGAAAAATCCAAGTTGTGAACATATGAACACAGCAATCAGAGCTTAAACAAGTTGAAGATGCACAGCTTAACCTCTCTTGTTTGACTTTCTCGGCAACCAAACAGTAAATAAAAAATAAAACAAAATACAAAGTACAGAATGAAAGAGTAAAACAATTAAGTGTTCTTCATGGCAAAAAAGTTTGATCAAAAGGGTCTCTGGATTGAGAAAACCCATAACCCTTAAAACAACAGAACCACAAATCAAATAACCACCCATGTTAACATTCACAATAATGAACACAAAAAAATAAAAAAATAAAACCCAACTTGTGAACATAAAGCAATCACCAATCAGAGCTTATCTACAAGTTCAAGCTTCAAACTCTAGCATCTCTTGTTTCACTTCAACATTAAACAAACATAAAAAGGTAAACTTTTTTTTCTTTGGGTCTAAAAACAAAATTGTGGGTGAGAAAGAAAAAGACCCAGAAACCAAAAAGGGTTAAAAAGAAAGAAAGTTACAGTGTTCTTCATAGTATCAGTGGCAACAATGTCAGAATTGTCATCACGAACATAAGAATTGACACAATCAGAGAGAAGGCTTATGCTGACACGCCATTCCACAACGAAGTGTCGACCTTCCTTGCTCTTCCACACACGTGCAACCCTCACCCTCTCTTTTCCATGCCTCTGCTCGAAGTTCAATCCCTCTACTACTTCATTCGCCATTGATGATTTCTTCTTCTTCTTCTACTTCATTCGCTTGTGTGTGTTTATTATATATAAGTGTTTCGGTTCTGTACTTCCGGCAAAGTACAAACGACTTGTTTGCTGGTTTTACTTTATATATGGCCAATTCCGTGTGCGCATTTACTTTATCCTCCAAACAAATGTTAGAAAAAGTGTTTTATGTCCCACACACACACACGCACGTCGCCGTAAAAGTATATGTGCATATCTTTTTAGGGAAAAACTAATCTTCAACCACACGATGGTTTATATTTCAACAGAGATCTTTATTTTATTTTATAACTATGTGGGTCTTATTATATAATTGTGCGAGTCGCAGAAGATATATTCTTTCCTACTGATGGAAATTAATAAAGTCCTATTTTTTTAAAAAAAATTTCACTTGATGCGAAATCAGGGATAATCTTATATTTATAAATTTTTTATTTATAAATTCTTACAAATTACATTAAATATGATCGGTCATACTTAATATAATTTGTAAAAAAAAATTGTAAACGGATGCTTCCTAATATATATAGAAAAATGTTTGTTATTTTAAATGACATAAAGTTATGTCATTTTAAGAGAGAGATAGAAACACAATAATTTTTTTATTTAAAATTTAAATTAAAAAAAACCACCCACTTTCTCTCTCCCATGATTTTCATTTTTTGTGTCTATCTCTTTTCTAAAATGACATAACTTATGTCATTTGAAATGACAAACACCAAACTCATATATATATATAGGCTTATCGTTTCTCAAGCTGCTAGAGATAACTTTATCTCTGGCCACTAAATCATAACCGTACAAAGATGGATCAATGGTGATAAAGGAAGAGAGAGAAAAAGGGAATCATAACCATTCAAAGGTGAATCAATTAATATAAGGAAATAAATAAACAAAATGACGTAGTTTTGGAGTTGCCGGAGATAAGCTTGTCTCAAGCTGCCGAAGAAATATTTCTCTCTCTCTCTCTCTCTCTCTCTCTCTATATATATATATATATATATATATATATATATATATGGAAAAAACATTTCTCCAGCAACTTGAAATAAGTTTATCTCCAACTATCTTAAAACTACGTCGTTTTGTTTATTTATTTCCTTATATTAATTGATTCACCTTTGAATGGTTATGATTCCCTTTTTCTCTCTCTTCCTTCATTACCATTGATCTATCTTTGTACGGTTATGATTTATTAGCCGGAGATAAAATTATCTCCGGCAGCTTGAGAAACGACAAGCCCTATATATATATATATATATATATATATATATATATATATATATATATATATATATGAGGCAGGATCCTTTGACACTTGTGTCAAATTTCAAATTTGACATTTCATCTGAAAGTCGTTAGACAAAAAAAAGATCAATGGTGTCACATGCTTGCAAATCAGAGTCGTTGATCTTTTTTGATCTAACGACTATCAGATGAGGTGTCAAATTTGAAATTTGACACTGGTGTCAAAGGATCTCCTGCCCCTATATATATATGAAATAATTTTATCTCTTTATATACAAAAAAACATTAAATTCTTCAACTATATTTATATCTATAAAGTCTAAGTTTTGCCTCTATATTTATGAGTTTGACATTTCTCATATATGATCATGTAAAGAGAAGTGAAAAAAAATAAAATATAAACATCATACATTTTTTTTTTTTTTTAGAAATACAATGAAAACTAAAGCAACATCAAAAAAAGCCCTATACTGGGCACAATCTTGGGAGACTAACTCCCCTCAAGTCATTACGAAGCAATTCCAAACAAGCCGTTGGAGGGACATCCAGCACAATCAGTTGTCCATCCTGATGAGGTGCATGAGTAGCAAGCCAATCAGCAACAAAATTGCATTCTCTATAAGTATGACTAAGCTGAATAATCCAGTCTCTTTGAAGCATGCTACGAGCTCGGATGATTAAAGCAGAAAGAGGATGACTTACGTCACATCCTTTTCTTATAAATTCCAAAGCCACCTTGGAGTCACCCTCCACAAAGACTCTCCTAAATCCCTTATGCCAAGCCAGATCCATACCTGTCAATAACCACCAAATTTTCGCTGAAGTAGAAGTACCACTCCCAAGGAATTTTGTAAAACCAGTTAACCAGTTCCCAGAAGCATCCCTTATGACTCTACCACCTGCAGTCCTTTGCCCACTGTCTATGCTGGAACCATCCACATTAAGTTTAACATAACCCTCAGAGGGAAAATTCCAGTGAATAAGACGTTCCTCTCTTCTAAGCTCCTGATGACCAATCTTAGTAAGGGTTTCATTAGCCAATTGAATATTACCACAAGTATAGGTAATGCGCCTAATGAGACCATACTTCGAGGTGATAGTTTGATCAAAGATCGCTTTATTTCTTTCCCCCCACAAACACCAAGCTATCACCCCAAAATACAAAGGCCAAGTTCGATCAGTTTGAAACGGACCTTTTAATCCTAGATTTGTCTGAATCCATAGGTGAAGATCCATGGAGAAAAAGTCACTACGGTTATCAGAAGGAACCCAATGCTCCCATAATTCCCTGGCACTAGGACAATCTCTAATGTCATGTAAACTATCCTCAAGATTATAATGTCATCTCAGACACCCTGCATCTGTAGCCATGTGACGATGCACTCTATGAACATTAGTTAAAAGAGAACCTCTGTAGAGAAGCCATAAGAATTGTTTAATACGTTCAGGACCAGGCCAAGCCCAAATTACCTTCCAAATCCTATCCTGATGATAATGCGAGGTACCCATGAGATAGTTATAAGCTGATTTCACTGAAAAAACCCCATCTTGGCTACCTGCCCAAATAACACGGTCCGGAGAAGGATCCACTGTAGGAGGGAGCACACTACGAATCTTGTCTAATACTGAAGTAGGAAGAAGGTGCTGAAATAAAGGCCAGTCCCAATTACCATAACAAGTTACAAATTGAGACGTAGACCAATGAGTCATAATAGGAGGAATAGGTTGAACGGCCAGAGAAACAAGTTGAGGACATCCTGGCACCCACGAATCCATCCAAAAAGACGTATGAACCCCATCCCCTAAAATGATACGAGAATTCTCTAGAGTTTGAGGCCAATACTTAACAATAGCCTTCCATAAACCAGAATCATTTGCGGAAGCCGAGATACTTGGAATGAGCCTTTCCTCCACCTTATACTTGCTACGAAGGACCCGAACCCATAACGAATTACGATCAGTCATGATTTGGTGACCTAGCTTCATGATAAAAGCCATATTATTCTCTTTAATTTTACGAAAACCAAGCCCCCCTACATTCTTCGGCAAACAAACTGTCTCCCAAGAAACCAGGTGAGCTTTCCTTCGTTCAGAAGTTGATCCCCAAATGAAATTCCTAGTTACACTCTCAATACGATCACACGTACCACTAGGAATAATACAAGTTTGCATAGGATATTGAGGAATTGCAGTAAGAACTGACCTAGCCAAAGTTGATCTTCCTGCCAATGAAAGAGTACGTTGATTCCAGGCCTTTAAACGAGCTTGCATCCGATTTAAGATATAGCCAAACGTACTCTTTGTAACACGGCTATGACGAAGAGGAATACCCAAGTATTTACCCAAGTCATTTGTAGGAGAGTAGCCCATCAACTGGCTTAGATTCTGCACTCGGGTATGATTAACGTTTCTGGATAAGAAGACTTTTGTTTTTTCCTTGCTAACCTTCTCACCAGAGCACCTGCAAAAACAATCAAGAATCTTATTAATAATAACAGCTTGCCCTTCTGTGGCTTCTGTAAAGAGCAGAAGATCATCTGCAAAAAATAGATGGGAAAGCAGTGGTCCCCTTCTATTCAATCTGATAGGCTTCCAAACGTCCTCTTGAACTGCTACATTAATCAAATGAGCAAGTCTTTCCATGCAAAGGATGAAAAGATAAGGAGACAAAGGATCTCCCTGACGAAGACCTTGATTAGGAGAAAATTCTGTCGTAGTTGATCCATTCCATAACAAATTCATTGTACATGACGAGACACAACACATGATCAGAGAAATAATATTCTCGGGCAAACCAACATCCACAAGCGTGTCTTTCAGAAACCCCCAAGAAATCTTGTCATAAGCCTTTTCTAAATCAACTTTGACAATCATCCAACCCTTACCTCCTCTCTTTTTATTCATGGAATGGATGATTTCCTGAGCCACAATGATATTATCCGCTCCTTGTCTACCCTTAATAAAACCACATTGATTAGGCATAACCAAGTGAGCCATATGAAATTTCAGCCTATTAGCCACAATCTTAGTTACAGTCTTGTAAATAACATTACAAAGGCTAATAGGTCTGAAATCTTTAAGTAATTCAGGCACATCAATCTTAGGAATCAGACAAATCAAAGTTTGGTTAACCTCTTTGATATTATCCGGATGAAGGAACACACCTTTCACAAAAGAGATAACTGACTCACCCACCTTATCCCACTGAGATTGAAAGAAAAGAGCATTAAGCCCATCCTTCCCAGGAGACTTGTATGGACCAAAAGAGAAGACTACATCTCTGATCTCCTTACTGTTTGGCATAATACTCATCGTGTCTAAAGCATGCGCTTCAATAACTGGAAAAAAGCCACGAACTGGAAAAGCCGGTTTAGGTAATGGATCTTTTGTGTACAGATTTTCAAAGAAAGAAACAACCATTTCCATTAAAACCTGTTGATCACCAATCCAAACTCCCTCTGAGTTTTTCAACGTATCTATGCGATTCCTCCTACGTCTGGCAACCGTCACAGAATGAAAGAAACGCGAGTTCCTATCTCCAAGAGCAAACCAATTCAATTTCGATTTTTGAAACCAAGTAATTTCCTCTTGAAGATAAATCTTGTCTAGTTCCCTCCATAGATCCTTTTGCAACATCTCAAGGCTATGACTGTACTGATAACTAAGACATCTATCAATACCTCTAATCCTTGCATGCAAATCATTCTTTCTTTTCAGAGCAATCCTATAAACATTTCTATGCCATTCCGAAGCATTAATCTGAAATGTCTCCATAGCATGCATCCAGTTTACATTGTTTGACCAACATCCATTAACCACCTCATGAAAAGTGCTCTC